CCCTCCCCGCCTCCACACACAGACATTTCCAGATCCCGCCCATCAAGCCTGTGGTCCCTTTCCCAAAGCCATGGCAAGCCCAGAAATTACCCTTGGGCAGGGTTGCTTCTGTGCCCAGTGCCCTCTCCTGTCAGTCTCTCTGGGCTCCTGCTGTGGATTGCTGTGCCCTTGAGCAGCAGCGGTCTCTACAATGCCCAGCCTTCTGCCTGCTCTCCTCCACACAGGGTGGAGCGTTCCTTTCCTGTCATGTTCTTTCTACCTCTAGAAGTTGGGTTCCAGGTGGGTGACAGCATTTCTGCTTGTACCATCTGACCCACAGTCCATCCTGCCAGGCCCCCTGGCCAACTCTGGGGAATCCTCCAACCTGGAATGGAGACCAGGCCTCTTCCCAGGCTCTGGCGCCTGGGATGGCCAGCAAGTGACTTGCAGTCACTGCAACACCACACCCCCATTAAGGCTCACCCTGCTGGGGCTTCCTTGGCCAGCTTCGGGGCTCTGTCTCAATTCCTCCGAGCTGCCAACGGGACCACCCCTTTCCCCCAAGCGAACCCCAGTCTGGCTGGGCTGTGTGTTTTCAAGGAAGATTTCCCTGCAGACAGCTCTTCATCCACTTTCTCTGGTGGAGCCTGCTTTGCCAGTGCTGCCTTCAGTGACAACCCATTGCCTTGCCTCGTTAATCTCAGTGCAGAGGCAGAGGCTGCTCTCCTTCCTCCCAGCAAATTAGCATGCGCCTCCCTACTTCCCTGCACAGTGCCCAAGCTTCCATTTGTCTACACTTGTCCACCATCTTTCAGGCACTTGACACGGTGAGGCCACAGTAGACTCCTATCTCAGGGAAGGCCTAAGGGGCTTTCTGCCCATCTCCCGAGCTACTCTGTCACGGGGAACCCATGGCAATTGAAGGGTCTTCACAGCAGCATGGTCTTGGCTCAAGACAAATCCCCCTTGTCCATCTGCTGGCATTGCCCTCCCAAAAACATTCCCTTTGCCTGGAGGTACAGACTTTCTGTCCCGCCCCTCATCCCTTTGACACGTGGATATGAGCCCAGTTTCTGGTGGATTCTGCCTCGCTGGGGTGCACAAGGGAGTCCAAGCGGGAAAACGCCTGCCTCCCAGAGCCTGATCATGACATCGAGAGGCTCTCAGCCCTGGCAAGAGCACTGGTGTCACCGTCCCATTCGTAACGCAAAAGAAAAACAGCCCTGAGTCATTAGTCACAAAACTTACCTGTTTGCTGCAACCAGAAGACCGTCTCTCGGGGCTTCCTTGCAGAAGACATTGGACAAGGTCATCGATGCTGAGCTTGTCACATTCTGTGGGGAGGCGCCCTGCCTGGATGGTGCCGACCCAGCCAAAGCTGTCTCTTGTGTGAATCTGGAACTGCTGCCACAGGCTACCTTCCACCTTCAAAGGGCCCTGGACTGGCTTCTTGTTTGGTGCCTGCAGACAGAACTGCTACACCAACTCCAGGTGCTTCCCCCAGCCTGCTGCCTCTCCTGGGGACTTTGTGGTTGGACACTTCCACCCCTCCCCCTCTCGGTAAATGCACACAAGATTGCAGACATGCAGCTTCCTGGAAAGACACATCCAGTTTCAAACACTGCATCCTCCATCCTCACTGGGGCCGTGTGTGTCACTCTCAAGGCAGTTTCCACCACAATCCCCTCATGGTTAAGTGCCACCCGTGGAGCGGCACAGCCCTCACCAAGTCAGTCTCTCCACTGATGCACCACTCGGCTAAGAGTTGGGCAGCTGTGACAGAGGGTTGTTCTTGCCTCCCTTCTGAGGCATACTGATTGGTCTAAGATGCAGAGGGGCGCTGCACCAGAGACCTGCAGAAGGCCGGCCCTCCCCTGCCTGGTACAGATGCTACCTGGGTCTTCTCACAACCTGCCGCTTCCCTTCTGCTTCTGCTCACAGCCTCCTTTCCACCCTGAAACTTCGTGCTCCCTTACTGCGTCTTGTTTTTGTGTGTTGCCCGGGACCGCCTTTCCCACTCTCCTGTTGCAGAGTCTCCTTGGTAGTTTCCCCATGCATTCACACCTTTCTCTTTAGGGTTTCGACTCATGGATCTACCTGGAATTTACTTCTGTACAAGGTGGGAGAGAGTGACATGACTTGGCTTCTTTTCCCATGTGACTAACCAATGAACCCGGCACCACTGGCCGAGCACTCTGTGCTAGAGCTGCTGTGTGGCACATTCCAGGATCCTCACACACCCAGCCAAGCACACTGTCTCTTCCTGCATGGCATTAAAGTCCCTCCCGAGACACACCTCTTTCCCCTAGGAACCTCTGACAGGAACCCTTGGCTCCCTGGGCAGCCTGAGGCAGGTGGTATGTGTCAGTCGGGAGGGCTGTGTTGGCGCTTGCGAGCAGGCCTCTGTCCTGGGTACCTTTTCAGGAAGTATTCTGGCCCTCAAGAAGCTTAGGAACCCTCACCCCGGCCACTTTCCCGCCATGGAAAACTGGGGACTGGTCTCTCCCCTCTCCCAAAATACTACCTCTGTAGACGATACAAGGAAGCTATTTTTCTAAGTATTCTTCAGTCTCCCATACGGTAGCCATCAACAACACTCAAATAAGAGTATTGTCACACATTGAGCTCATGTCCTGTATTGCGAATGGTTTCACCCACCCATCAAAATAGCTCTTGATATTTTTGTTTATGTGTTCTATTTTTTTATCACTCAGGAAATTTGTTTTCTGTTTCTGTCAATATATTTCTTTAGAGCTATATATACTTTTTTCTTTTCTTTTTTGCTATTCCGAGATTCTTTTTAAAATTGCCATTTCCTTTGAAAAAAATGCAAACACAGCATTGTTTTAGAGCTAGCTTTTTGGTTATTCTTTGTTAACTGAGTATTGATTTGAGGTAGATTTTCTTTTTGGGGGGTGTGAGAATGCAGTCCCCCCACTACCACAGATTATGCAGATGAGTTTCCCATATTTGGGAAATCTCAGGGATCAACACATTCGGGGTACAATGGATAAGCCTCGCCCTGGTTCTGGTAAAACCACCTTGGTGATCATGGTATCTCCCCTGCCAGGTAAGTATTGAGGTAGATTTTCTATCATAACTCTCTCCAAATGTATAACTAATTATACTGATGCCAGCCATTTATTGTAGAACCCATCCATTATGTTTTGATTGAATTTGCATGAAATCGACAAGTATTGGCATTTTTAGAATGCTTTCATCTAAATACAGCTATTTAGACCTTTTTGTCACTTGTGAAATTTCCGTTTTAAATATCTTTCACATTTTAGAGGTGATTATTCCTAAGTATTATCTGTTTGTGTGTGTGTGTGTAGACATGATCTTTACCTTGTCTTACAACGCTATGTTACTTTGACTCTGCTGTCCTTATCCCATGTGCCAGCACACTGGACATATCTGTGGCTTCTGCTGCTTTGGAAACAGTAATAAAAAAGGTGAGTGGTCAAGTGCCTCACAATTGCTACTTTCAAAGAGTAGGGAAAGGAAAAAGACAAAGCATTTAGACCTATTGTTCCACAAATGTCCCTTTCCCAGAACTCTTCCTAAAGACCCTTTTCCTTCCTTCATTTTACTTTTATATTTTCTTCCTCCCCCACATTCCTGGCAGTGGAGTAGTCCAAACTAGTTCTTCTGGTTTATTCAATCGTGCTTCTTTCATCCCTGGCAGGGTCTCCATTAAGTCTAGCCATCAGTATTCTATTGTTCTTTGTTCTCAAATATCTGGATATATGATTTTGAAGGAAGAAAAGGCAAATTTGATGGCTCAAGTTATTACTTGAGCTTATGATTAAGCCACACAACCCCACTCTGAATAAATATCTGTATCTCACAAAGATCAATTATCAATGTGTAAATTTATATTCAGAGTTCTATATTTTTCATTATCCAGGCCTTTAAATTGGGTAGTAGATGAAGTTGTCGACCTCCCCTCTCACCTGGGGAAGGGATGTGGATGTAAGGGAAGTGATAGGAGAGGTTATCACCAGCCTTCTCTTGCAGGCTTTTCTAGCCTACCACTAAACTGTCTCATGTTGGACTCGGCACTTTGGTAGCTTGTGCGTATGGAAGTGAAAAAAAACTAACCCCAATGCTCTTAAATTTCCCAGTAGCTTGTCTGGTTATATCTACCATCCACCAGGGCTTTAATCTGGGAATTGATCTGAGTCAGGAGACATGAGATTGGCTGTTTTGCCTTCTCCCCTCTCCACAAAGTTTCTCTGATAAACATCTCCTTCAGGTTCTGAGTTCTCACTAACTTTGGCTTGTAGTAAAT